CAGGTCAGAGGTCATCACTACTCCCAGGTTTCGGGCTGATCGCTGGTTTTCAGTTGTAATAACTTGTTCACCTTTCCTTCATTCTCACTGATATTCTTTTATCACACCTGACACGTTTCTCCACCTGTTCCTCCCTGCTTGGACATGTTTCTTCACTTTTTTTCCAAACTCGCCGTTGTTCTGGACTGTTGACTCTAAGTATTTAAAATCTTTCACTTTCTTTCTGTTCCCTAGGGTACAGAAAGAGGCTCTCTTTCCAGGTGAGCCTCTGTCTCCAGATTTTCCTCCACCTGTTCTCTGCTCTCACCACACATCACAATGTCATCTGTAAACCTCATAGTTCATGGTGATTCCTGTTTCCTGTCCATCGCCGCAGGAAACAGGAAAGGCTCAGAGCCGATCCTTGAAGTCCCACTTCCTCCTTGAATCCCTCTGTCCCTCCTGCAGCACACCTCACTACAGTCTGACAGCCGTTCATGTCCTTCACCACACCAACATGTTTCTCTGTTACTCCAGACTTCCTCATGCAGAACCACAGCTCCTCTTCTCTAGATCTACAAAAACACGATGCAGCTCCTCTGACATTCTCTGGACTCTCCATCAACATCTGCAATGGTTGCATCTGTGGTACATTTGTAGGCATGAAACCGACCTGCTGCTCACAGATGACCTTTGACCTCAGTCTGGATTCAACAACTGTTTCCCATAACTTCACTGAATGCCTCATCAGCTTTATTCCTGTGGAGTGTCACAATTTAGTTCATCTCTCTTGTTCTTGGTAAAACTGGTACCAGCTCATTTCTCCTCCATTCCTCTGGCTTCCTCTGAGTCTCTAGGATCTCATTGGCTGTGTTAACTGTAACAGTTATTAATAAATAAATTAAATAAATCAGATTAAATGGATCATAAACTCTCCATTCTAATTTATTAATAATCTTCTTATATTGGGGCGACTGTGGCTCTGAGGGTAGAGTCGTCATCAGAAGGTTGCAGGTTTGATTCCAGCTTCCTGCTGCTGCATGTCCATGTGGCCCTGGGCACGTAACCCCAACCTGCCCACCAATCTGCATGTCAGTGCATGAATGTGTGAGTGTGAATGGGTGAATGTGACTCTAGTGTAAAGCTTTGAGTGGTCAAAATGACTGGAAAGGCGCTATAGAAGTTCAGTCCATTTACAATTTTACCATTGAGCCAATCTGGTGTTAATCTGTCCTGCAGAACATCCAGGTTTGATCTGCAGGAGAAAATGATGTCAGGTTTATATTAATATGATATTACTCCCTTCAGAGGCTGCAGAGTAACGAAGATGTCTCCATGTTGGACTCGTCTCTCTGGAGCGTTCAGTGTCTCCATCAGGTCTCTACTGATTCTGCTGGAGCTGCTCTCCTCATTCTCCTCCTCTTCCTCAGGCCGCCATCATGATGCGTAAAGATGTCAACAAGCCGAAGGGGAAGACGTCGGCCTACGCCTTCTTCGTCCAGACGTGTCGAGAGGAACACCGCAAGAAAAACCCGGAGCAGTCGGTCAACTTCGCCGAGTTCTCCAAGAAATGCTCCGAGAGGTGGAAGGTCAGCGAGACAGGGGATGGACAGGGGGACGGGGGCAGAGGGACAGACAGGGGGACGGGAGGAGAGGGACATATGCTTTCTCTAGATCAGGGTGTCCAGCTCCAGTCCTCTGCTGTCCTGCAGGTTTTAGATGAGCCTCAGGTATAAATGAAACGGCTCCATCTCCTCCTGGTGTTGATCGTTCCTCCAGAGCCTTAATGACCTTTAAAACCTTTATAAACTGTTAGTTCAGATGCGTTCAGGTTCAGGAGGAAGAATCAGTTCCAGGTTATTGAGTCTTGTTGAGGTGACTCGCTCTGGGAAAGGTCAAAGGTCACAGAATCAGTCACATGTTCACCATTATGGGACGATAAAGTCACTGAGTTCTAAATAATATAGATACTGAATCAGAAATGATGTCTGGTGTTGTCATGGAGATGATCTGAGATCCGTTCAGTAAAATAGATCCAGGTGTTTTATTCTCCATGTTGATCCTCCTGCTGGGAACCAGGTGGTGGCAGCATCATTCCTCTGGTCTGTTCAGGGGTCGTTGTTCTGCCAGTAAACCTCACAGCTGCACTTCATCAGCCGGATCAGAACCAGGGTCGGGTTCTGATGATGTGAAGTCCTCCATGTTGGATCTGAATCAGCATCAGGAGTCGATCAGTTTATTCTGATCAGATCAATATTGCTTTTAATAACATCAATGTTTATTTTCTGCCTGGTTCTGAGAACCTGCAGCCAGTTTCCTCTTCCTGTTTCCCGTTTCCTCTTCCTGTTTCCTCTTCCTGTTTCAGTCATTAGATCAGTCAGCTACCTGATCAGGTGATCATGTTTATTGATCAGGATCATTCAGCTGATTGATCACTTTCTGATCACAGAGGATCTGATCCAGTTGAAGTAAACATGTCTGACATCACAGGAACCTGGGATGGTACCGAATTCAGTACTTTTATAGGTACTACTGAGTAAACGGTGCCATGTTTCGGTCCCTAAACGCATCATTGTGACAGACAGTGTGGAGGAAGAGAGGGGGATTTTCCATGCTTGTCCTGAACGCAGCACAGCAGTGTAATGACATCAGCAGCTGGTTCAGTAAACAAAGTGTAGCTGGTAGAAAACGCTCAAAGTTACGGCTCCACTTTTCTAAATGCGATGTTGGTTCTGCTCATTCAGGGGTTCCTCCAGAAAACCTGCTGAACCCGGCGGGCGGTGCATTAATGAACCATCATGTTTTTGTATTAAAAGATGTTAAGTTGGGCTTCAGGGGCCATTAATGCTAATATTTTAGCACAGTTACATGAATGTAACATTTATTTATTGAGATGATCAATGATGATAAATTTGATTTAATGGTTTCAGCATAAATTAAAATATAGTTTAACATTTAAATTTAAGATTTTAAGGATCTGGCAAGTTTAGTTTGTAAAACTTCAAAGAACAATATTCATAGATTGGTTTGTTACCATAGCAACAATCTGATGCTGTGAGTTTAATCATTAAGTTTGAGCTGTTTGTTCACAAATACAAATTAGTAAACTGGATTATAACTGATTGTTTTTATGTTGGCTAATTAAACTCCTCCTCTCTCAGATTAAATCGACACAGAAGCTGTTAGAGCTGCTGATGTTGTTAGCATGAAGAGGGGCCCCTCAGTCAGATTCTGCCCCAGGCCTCATCCAGCCTTGGACCGGCCCTGCAGGATGAGTTAAACCTGCAGAGATGAGTAACAAACAGATTTAATTCATTGCTGCTCTTCAGTAGCTCTAACATTTCTGTCTGTTGAGTTTTTAATGAGAGTCAGAAACTATTACACAACAACTTTTTCTGATCTTCGCTTGGCCGTTCATTAACTCTAAGTGGACAAAGCATTGATATGGTTTGATGCTTCGTGTAACCTGAAAAATAATAATAAAATAATATAAAACCAGGATGATGTGAGCGCTAAAGCTCCTCCCCAGACTGAACCTGCATGATGAGGTTAGCGCTGGATCACGTAGAGCTGTGCAACCAGAGCAACATGGTGGGTTTAAACTCCTACCCTGATGTGGAGTTCTCTAAAGAATCATAATTCCTCACAGGAGGTTGATGTAAATATCCATACAGGTCAGACTGGGTCCAGTTTGAGTGAAAGGAGGCGCGCTGAGGTAAACCTAAGAGATCAAGCAGAGGATCCAGCGCTGTGATTGGTCGCTCTCCTGGCTTTAAATGCATCAACTATAAACTCATCTGTTATAAACTCATCCGTTGGGAATAAATCTGCTTTGCTAGTGAAATGCTCAGAGAAACAGAGACACTTTAAATCTGGATTTAAGACAGAAAAAAAATTTAAAAGAATGTTGTTGTTTTTTGTTGTTCTTTTGGATTATAATATAATAACTAAAAACCAAAACAAGCAACACTTGACCTGGTTTAGTAAAGCATGGCGGGCTGCCGTGAAGTTGGTCCCCCACCTTCTTCACATCAGACAAAATGGGTGTCAAACGTTTGTGCAGCAAAAATTTTCGTTTTTGCCGCCATCATTTTAAAGATATAAAGAAATGTTTCTGGAGGTCATCAAAGGTCAACCAGACAAAATGGGTTTCAATCAACTAGGCTACTTTTGTGCTATGCTGGTTTGTGCAGCAAACATTTTCTTTTGTGTTGCTTTGGCTTTTGAAGATATTAAAAGAAATGTTTCTGGAGGTCATCCAAGGTCAATGAACACCTGTTCATGGTGTTCATTAACACCATAAATTAGAATTTCAATTATAAGTTGCAGTCTGTTGCAGGGCATAACCATGCACACACATACACCTAGGGACCAATTAACCTGACAGTCATGTTTTTGAAATCCACATGAACATGCAAACTCCATGCAGAAAGACCGGGCATCGAACCCAGAACCTTCTTGCTGCAAGGCAACAGGTCTACCAACTGGACCACTGTGCAGGCCCTATGAACATGAATAATTTAATTTTAACCTGGAAGAAATTCAATTCAAACTTGGTATTATTTAGAATGAACAGGTTGGTACAACCATAGACATAATATAAGGACAGACCCTCATGGACCGCTCTCGCCTATTGTTGCTGACGAGATTTAGGGCGGCCATCTTGGAGCGGTCCACCACTCCACTCAGCGTTATGTGTTTAGCAGCACAATGACGTATCAGCGCATTTAATCGATCATAACACACTTTTTGTTTCTGTAAACCATATTCAAACATCTATCAAAGCTACATTTATAAACAATTGTATTTTTTAAGTATGTTTTTAATACATAGTTCATATTTAAATATGCTTAGTGGCTATAACAATAGAATAGGAATGGAATATTCTGATATCGATGTATGAAGAGCATATTATAACTATACAAACACAAATAAATAATGATTATTACTGAATAATATATATTAGATAGATATGTATACATGCATATAAAAACTTGTATATATGTATATATACATCATGTCCAGCCTAATATCTGTCGCCTGTTTTCCAGCCGAGAATATCCAGCTTCAGAGATTCAGCAGCTCAGATTGAGTCCAAAATCCGATGTGAGATTCTTCCTCACATCGTGTCTTTAGGAAACCAAGATGGCCGCCGTATTTCCTGCGCCGGAGCAGCCAATGGGGGATCTACTCTACTATGTCTATGGGTCAACACCTCCCAAAACAATCTCGGTGACCTGTATCATAGCTTCTGATCACTAGAGGGCGCTATTGGACAAACTACATTTGAAATACACAAAATAAGAATAAAACCAAACATGTGCTTGGCATCTACTCAGCCATTTTGAGCTCAATGTTATGATCAAGAGCAATCATCTACACTTCTTATTAATATTCATAGCAGTGCATCAAGGTGCATATTTTCCAAAACTGTAACTATTTCAGTACAGTATCAGACAGAGTTGACCTCTGATGACCTCTATAAAGTTTTATTATCTTTGAATTGATAACAGTACAAATGAAAATGTTTCCTGCACAAACCAGCACAAATGTAGCTCAGTTGATTGAAACCCATTTTGTCTGATTTGGGGGCCACTTCACTCAGGTCTGCCAGGATTATAATCCTCTGGTTGAAATCCTCATTGCAACGCGACATAAACGGCCAGCAGCAGAAACTCGACTAGTTTGGGAACAAAGCTCCTGGTTAACCACAAGATTTTTCCTAAGGCACAGTTTTCATCAACCTGAGACTTCTAGCTGCTGCATTAGCCTCTGTTAGCCTCCGACTCTTCATCTGTAGCCAGGAACAGACAAATGTTTGATACATCTGGTGAAGGTGACGTCTGCCAGGGAAAACATGGAGCTGGATTTTAATCTGGGCTGAAGGACAAAACACTCCGTTTGTTCTGAGGAGTTTCATCTCTAAAGATAATAACTGATGTTAGAATAGAAAGAGCTGGATGCTGTCTTCATAAGTTTACATTTTACATATTGAAAAATAAATATTAAATTAAATAATGTTTATTATTAAAAAGCTACACACAAGTACCATTAATAGGTACCGACTCCATTCCAGTGTCAAAGGTTCCCGTCCTACAGGAACCAGAACGGGTTCAGGGTTATAACAGGAGATGCAGCAACATTAAACACTGAGACATTTATTAATGGGACGTTGATTCACACCAGAGGAACTGAGACTGATCAGCCCTCATTAATTAATTATAGATGATAATCAATCTGCTGTTGGACTCAGAAGGTCAGGAGACAGAATCAGTGATGATGGAGAGAGGATCTGGACCATCATCCCGTCCAGAACCATCATGTTCCTCCTGAATGGTGTGTTCAAGGACATCCAGACTCTTCATCTCCAGTCTCAGATCCTCCCAGTGAATCACTGACATTTATCCTTCCACCAAACTTTCCTTCAGCAGTGGAGTCCTGAGCAGTCAGTCAGCTGACCACTGACTCCTCAGAGCTCTTCTCTGATTGGCTGATTCATGGAGAAATATGAAGATCAGCTGATCTCTGGATCCTCCAGAGCAGCTGGAGCCTCCAACATGGCGGACACCAGGAGGACTCTGCTTCTTCTTCTGTGGTGGATCTTAGATAATCTGGGATTAAAGCAGCTGATGGAGACCTGACCTCAGACAGGAAGGATCTAGAGACAGCTTCCTGTTGGTGTCCCCCAGGTCCTTTGTGTCCTCCAATTGGTCCCATCTTGTCCTCCAGTTGGTCCCATCATGTCCACCAGTTGGTCCCATCATGTCCTCCAGTTGGTCCCATCATGTCCTCCAGTTGGTCCCATCATGTCCTCCAGTTGGTCCCATCAGTTGGTCCCACCATGTCCTCTAGTTGGTCCCATCTTGTCCTCCAGTTGGTCCCATCATGTCCTCCAGTTGGTCCCATCATGTCCTCCAGTTGGTCCCATCTTGTCCTCCAGTTGGTCCCATCATGTCCTCCAGTTGGTCCCATCTTGTCCTCCAGTTGGTCCCATCTTGTCCTCCAGTTGGTCCCATCTTGTCCTCCAGTTGGTCCCATCTTGACCTCCAGTTGGTCCCATCATGTCCTCCAGTTGGTCCCACCTTGTCCTCTAGTTGGTCCCATCTTGTCCTCCAGTTGGTCCCATCTTGTCCTCCATTTGGTCCCATCTTGTCCTCTTGTCCAGGCGCTGTCCCCTGGAGAGAAGAAGCGTTTTGAGGACATGGCGAAGGCCGACAAGGTTCGCTACAACCGGGAGATGAGGGACTACGTCCCGCCCAAAGGCTTCGGCAAGAGAGGCCGCAAGAGGAAAGACCCCAACGCCCCCAAGAGGCCGCCGTGAGTATCTGCAGGGAGACCTGCTGGTTCTGGTTGGTCCAGTAGCAGAGGACCGGACCTCCTGTTGGTCCTGGTTCCCCTTTAACCCCTCTGCCCCTCCAGGTCGGCGTTCTTCGTGTTCTGCAGCGAGTACCGGCCCAGCGTGAAGCAGCAGTACCCGGGTCTGTCCATTGGCGACTGCGCCAAGAAGCTGGGCGAGATGTGGAGCAAACTGAGCCAGTCTGAGAAGCAGCCGTACGAGGAGAAGGCCCAGAAGCTGAGGGAGAAGTACGACCGGGTGAGGACCGGACCGGAACCAGGGGGGAACCCTGACCTCTGACCCCTAACCCCGACCTCTGGCTCCTAACCCTCTGCCTGCAGGACATGGTGGCGTACCGCGGCGGGGGAACCTTCGCCAGGAACCCGGACTCTTCAGCTCAGGGCGGCGAGGAAGAGGAGGATGAGGAGGGGGAGGAAGATGATGAAGACGATGAAGACGACGAGTAGAGAGACTGAGGAGAACGGGGTGTGTTTCAGAGACCGGACCGGTACCGTACGGGTCAGAGACCAGACCGGTTCTGATGGAGGGCAGCCTGGAACGGATCGGGTCCAGAACCTCTGTTCTGTTCCTGACCCGATGGTGTTTTGGTTCTGAGCCAGCTGGGTTTATCCCTCAGATGTTGATGATCCAGAATCAGAACTGTTCTGGTTCTGGTTCTCTGACCCGTCTCAGAGCCGGTTCTGATCCAGATGTCCAGCAGTTCCATTGCTTGTCCAGCAGGCAGCACCTTTCATCCTCAGAACCAGGTCAGATCCGGTCCAGAAAGCATCACCTCTGGATACCACCAGAACCACTGGTACCTGGAGGTCCAGTCCGAATGACTCCTGTGGGTCCAGTGTGGGTGTTACCATGGTAACTGACAGTCCCAGTTCGACCAATCAGTGGCCTCAGAAAGCCCAGCATGTTTCTCTTTCACCAGAACCGGGCCGCTGTCAACTAGGAACCGGAACCAAACAGTTGATCAACAGGGTTTCGTACCGACTTAAAACGGTTAGAACCTCTGGTTCCGACCCTGTTCCATGAAAGACATCTGGGTCGGGTCAGAACCGGGTCAGAATGATCCAGAATCTTTTAAGTGCTGCTGCAGCAATCAGAACCAGTACCGGGTCAGGATGTGCGGGTTGTTCCTGACCAGCTGACCCAGTTACCATGGTAACCAGTGGCTTCTCCCAGCTTCCCTCTGTAACTTGGAGGTCAGACCAGCGTGACCTCTGACCTCCAGCACAACCACAACCCTGACCCGGGTCAGAACCAATAGAGACGTGGATCAGTGCTAAAGGTTCTGTAGCTGTAGAGCTTCATCCAGGACAGAAGATCCAGAGATTCACTCAGTCACTGATGGAGGAGCTACTAACTATTATCGGCTCCTATCTGTTTTAGCTGCCACCCATTCACTGGGCCCCTGACCTCCTGCTGGGCCCCCTGACCTCCTGCTGGGCCCCCTGACCTCCTGCTGGGCCCCCTGACCTCCTGTTGGGCCCCCTGACCTCCTGTTGGGCCCCCTGACCTCCTATTGGGCCCCCTGACCTCCTGTTGGGTCCCCTGACCTCCAGACAGGGAGGTGCAGTGTTTGGCCCAAGGACACAACTAGAGACAAGGTGGGAATTGAACCAGCAACCCCCCAATTATCAGACGACCTCCGACCTCCATCCCTGAGTTCTGACCCGATTCCAGCGACCCGCTGAGTTTAAACCTTCTGACTCTGAAACACACACTGGGTCCTCAGAGTGTTACTGAGTGTGTGAGAACAGTGTGTGTGTGTGTGTGTGTTAAACTGTCCAACAGTAGCCCCCCCTCACTGTTACCATGGTTACCCCCCCTCCCTGTGTTTTTTCTGTTCCTGTTCTGTCAGTAGAAACTGCAGCTTTTATAATAAAACTACCAACTGCTGCTGTGTCTGACTCACTTCCTGGTCACATGACCTCACCGACCAATCAGGTTGCTCCACGGGAAACTGCTGGTACCAGAACCTTTTTGGACCGCACAGAACTTCAGGCCCAGTGGTTCTGGTCCAGAGAAGAAGCTCCAGAACATCAGAGGGTTCTGGTCCATAGTTTCTTTTCCTTTACGGATCAGAACCAGAACCTTGTTCCATCAACCCATGTCTGCTCAGTCTCTGGTTCTGGTAACGGACCTCCTATATGGATCAGAACCTTAGAGAAGCTGAGGTCCAGAACTTCTGAGTGGTCCAACCGTCAGGTGGAGAACCAGAACCAGACCAACTGGGACCAGCTCTTGAACTGGTCAGAACCGTTTGAGGTTCTGGATGTTCTGCTCAGATGGAGGGAAGAACTTCTGACGGGTCCAGATCCATCCAGGTGATTCTAGGTAGTAATGGGCGATACCAGCTGACCTTTGACCCCCGGGTCCTACTGGTCCAGACCGGTACCAACCTGGAGTTCTGGTGTTTCCAGCACCACATGTTGGACCTGCGGTTCTGGACAGCAAGTCAGGTTCTGATTGGATCTCTAGAAGCTCCTGATGACCGGGTTGGTTCTGACCCAGAAGCCCAGAACCTTGAGGCCCGGTCCAAATGGCCCAATCATGACCCAGTTAGTCATGAAGTTTCACTCTGAGGTCCAATTCAGAATCAGAACCGATACAAACTGATTATTGGTTTCATTAAACAGCTGAACTGATAAAATGATAAAATAATTTTATAGAAAATAAAACATTTTATTTATGATTTCATCACAGAAAACTGATCTGATCATTAACACCTTCATCATTCCAGGAAGATTTGATCCACTGGATTCATTAAATCCAGATTAAACTTCACCATTTAAACTCTTTTTGTCACTGATATAAAAACCCAGAAAGCTGTGAATCAATAAGACGAAGAATCTGAAACTCAGAAAACTTCTGGCATCATATTCATGAAGGAAATCTTTTGTTTTTCTTCTTAATCTCTTAATCTAATTTTCTTTGTTTAAACTTGTGATTCTATTGTTTAATGAAGTTCGGGGGTGGGGTGTTTCAGAACCAGTGTGAAGGGTCAAAGGTCAAGCAGCTCTGAGGCTCCGCCTCTTCATGAACCACTCAGAAAACAACTTCCTGTTTCCTTTATTTTCTTTATTGTTCAACAAACAGGAACATTTTCAGGAGGAGAATTCAACCAATCACAGAGGTTACAGCATATGACATCATACAGCGGGACCGTCTGATTGGCTGGTCCGTTTCTATAGGAAGACATTTGGAGGACAACAGTGCAGGTAAGAAGAGGCGTGTCATCAGCGTTCATCACCACGGTGATGAAGATGGTAAATATAAACAAAAACATCCAGTCAGTGACTAACTCGTTAACTAAACTAATTAACTAACGAGCTGCAGGTGGGTAAGGAAACTAAGTCAGGTTATGGAAGATAGGAAGTTGCCATGGTTACCAAAGTTATGGTCTGATTGGCTGTAAATTAATCTGTTTCTATGACAACAGAGGAGAAACTGAGAAACCACTGATGAACTGGTTTCTAGTTTAGTTTGTTTCCTTGTTATTAATTTGGTTTCATCTGTTTACATCATCCTGACATCCGGATCCTGAACCGGTTTGTGTTCCAACATATGAACCAGTTCCTGAACCGGTTCACGTTGACTGGTTTCTAATCATAACCCAGTTTTGTTATTTTAGGAGTCTGATCCGATTTTAAGAGTTAAATTGTAATAAATATTATTTTACTAATTTAATGAAGAGGATCATCATACTTTTATTGACCAACATTAATCTGTTTAGTCTTTTTGTTTTATCGTTTTTAAAGCTTTTTATATTTGATTTTCTCACTATGATGTATTTTATTTACCTTGTGAAACATTTTTGCAGTTTGAGATGTGATATAAATAAATTTGATGTTGACAAATAATGTAAAAAAACATAAATAAGCAGGATATAAACACAAATAAATGTGTATAAATAAATATTGTGTAATAAATAATTAGGTTTGATTCATGCAGATCATTCAATGTTCTGAGATTACCGTCATCTGATTGGCTCTCACTGGCAGTGACATCACAGTGTTTGTGCATTCTGATTGGTCCGTTTCAGAGTTTAAACCCCAGAAAACAGAACCGTTTTATTTCAGTCACTGAGTCGGTCAGTGGAAACTAGTCAGAGAAAACGAAACGGATCAGGACAGTGAATGCACCACGAGTGTGGTCAGTGAATGCATCATGAATGAGTGACTCAGGTTGGGTTTCCAAGAGAAGAATAAAATCAATGAACCACTAATGTGTGAAGTGATTCTGTATTTGGTCAGTGAATGCATCATAGATGTCAGTGAATGCATCATAGATGTCAGTGAATGCATCACTGAGCTTCCTGGCCGTCGATCCTCAGCTTGAAGGAAACCCGTCCGGCGAATTTGTCTCGTTCGCTGCCGGCCAGCAGCGTGTTGGACGTCACCTTACACTCCACGTTGATGTCGGTGTTCAGAGAGGCGTTCAGGAACTTCACGGCCACCAGGGGCTGGGTGTAGTTCACCTGAGGTACCAAACACAGACCCACTGATTCACCAGATTATAATCTGTTATCATCTGTGAAGACGGACCTGCTGGATCCTCAGTCTGATCCAATTTGGCTGGAATCAGATCGATCATAGAAAACTTTGTCCAGAGACAGTTTAGAGTTGGTACGGTTAGAATAATAAAGGAAGAAAAGAGCAAGAAACAAAGAACTGATCAGTTTAACAGAACCAGGAGAACAGAACCGGTCCATGTCCACAGCCCTGAGGAACATCACATTAAACGATGCTTATAAAGCTTTTAATAACAGGAGAAATTATGTTATTAATCTGATCCTACAGGTTTTACTGACGGCTGGTAGAGACTCGAGTTTTCTGGGGAACGAGTCTCTGCAGAGTCCCGAGTCATTACTGTCAGTACTGACTGAGTACTACAGAACTATTAGTACTAATATTGCAGTAATATTAATACTGACTATTGTAATATTAATGTAGTATTCTAACTGAGTACTATAGAACCACTCATACTCAGTACCCATGGTAGTAATCCAGCCGGTTCTGGTCCGTTCTGACTGAGTTACCTGAGCTTTCTTCCCGTAGTACGGATAGTACATGAGGTTAAAGGTTGCGTTAACAGGGAAATAGGCCAGAGGTCCCGTCTTCTCTCTGTCCTCCTTCTGCAAACAAACAACATGAGACGGTCAGGTATCTATCTATCTATCTATCTATCTATCTATCTATCTATCTATCTATCTATCTATCTATCTATCTATCTATCAGGTTTGGCTCCCTGATGATCATCAGTATCGGATCAGAGACGTTTCATTGCATCAACCAGTCTGACCTTTTGGTTCAGTCCAATCAATGCTACACTGTTAACCAGCTAGTCATAATGTTCTGCCTGGTCTGTTTCCATAGAACAGAAAGCCTGAGAAGGATCTAATACAGCAGATCTATGGTTACCATCCGCTACACGCCTCCCCACTCAGCATCATCCTCTTTGTAAAGCTGGAGACTCAAATGGACAGACGGACACTGATGGAGACACAGAGGACAGACATGGGGACAAATGGACAGGCAGCGAGTCAGACAGGTGGACGCAGTCTGACCTTGGCTCCACAGGTGACATAAGGAGATTGTCCATCCTTCCCAGGTAACATCCCAATCACCTGCAGAGAGACAGGGAAGAGGTTCAGAGATGCAGCTCTGCAGCGCCACCATCTGGAGGAGTCCAACCTTTTCCCTGTAGTTCCAATAACAACCAGAGATGCTGCTGCTCTCCAACCAGGAAGTAACTCACTAATTTTATTCATCTCATGTCACCAGATGATGATCAGATCCAGTTTATTAACAGAATCAGAATCGGTTCTGGTTTGTTGGATCCGCTCCATTAAACACTAAACCCAGTTTAGTTTATTATTCTGATATCTGAACCTTTATACAGAAACTCTGCAGATCTCAAGCTTTGCAGCAATTCCTCATCCTGAGCAGCAGGTGGCAACAGAGGAGAGAAAAACTCCTGAAGCAACTCGAGTCACAAAACGACTTTAACTTCTAAAAACCCATAAAATCACTGAAATCTTTGGACTTGGACATCAACATAATGACTTGACTTGGAAAGACTTGTTACAGCAAACAGGAAGTGCGCTGTCACAAACAGGAAGTGAGTTCCAGGTTCAGCCATCTTAGACTTCAGTCCCAGCCTTGACCTGTGGACCGAGTTGGAACTGGAGGAACAGAACCAGAACCAGCTGAAGGTTCCTGTTGAGGTTCTTCTTCCTCTATGAACCGTGGAGTTCCTCAGGGATCGGCTCTCTGCCCAGAGTTTTTGTTAGTCCATGAACTTCCAGGAGATTTTTAAAAACGGCCATCTTTATCCATCACTGTGGAGACGGTTTACATGAATCTGAACCGTAACTCTCTGAGTCTCAACTGGATGAGCAGCTAATGGATTAAATTTTCTCGTCCTCTCTCCATTAGTCCTCTCGGCTAATGGAGAAACACACCTGGACAGGTGCGTACCGGATCAGAACCCAACCTACCCGGTTCAGTTTGATCAGGATGCAGGGCTGGGCTTTGCTGTAACCATAGAAACGGTCCTCCAACCCTGAGCAGTCTCCCAGCATGGTGCGGTTGAACTGACAGGAGCGTTTGGGATTGTTCCTCACCTGGAGACAGACAGGAAGGGGCGGAGTCAGAGCGGATCAGAACCGACCCGGTTCAATAACAGCAGTTTGAACTTTACTACTGGACCCGGTCCACTTGGTTCTGATCTCGGGACACTAAAGATGAGGCTGCTTCCTGCAGGTGACCAATCAGAGACCAGAGCTCTGATTGGTCAGCAGCAGGTGAACTCTGACCCCTCTACAGGTGAGACCAGCAGCTTATTACCTCTCCACTGTCCTCCTGGATGAAATACTGATCAGGTGGGCAATCATCGTTCAGCTGCACCTGGTGGCTGTCGTTGTAGGCTGGACAGGTGAGACAGGTGGGACAGGTAGGAAGGACGGGTAGAGACATTCAGGTGGAGAGAAACTTCAGTTAGAACCACTGAGCCACACCTGAACAGGTAAACATTCAGTCGGACTGCAGGAATCTTTTCCAGGTATGTAAACTTCTGGTCTCACAGCTCAGGAAGGCATTGAGGTTCTGGACGAAGCCGTTCCAGCTCTCTGGGTCCGACATGGAGTACCTGATCTCCAGCTGGTCGCCTTTAGGACGGATCATCATACCTGGAACAGGAGAACCAATCAGGAAGCAGCTCATTAGAAGAACCAATCAGGAAGCAGCTCGTTAGAGAGAACCAATCAGGAAGCAGCTCATTAGAAGAACCAATCAGGAAGCAGCTCATTAGAAGAACCAATCAGGAAGCAGCTTGTTAAGGAGAACCAACCAGGAAGCAGCTCGTTAGAGAGGACCAATCAGGAAGCTCATTAGAGGAAGCTAAGTTTAGCTTGTAGCTTATTAGTGATAATCATCCTGATCCCACCTAACCACTTTCTGTGTTTCCGTTCTAAATGTTCATAAATCTCGTCTTTATTTTGCTCATGTTTAAAAAAATATTTTTTCTGTTTTTGGTTCCTCTGAAGTTTAAGGAAATATTTTGATCCGGATGAAAGACCACATGATCCCAGAGCAAAAACTTTGTGTTTTCATTTAGTGCATTTATTTTGTAATTTCAATCTGTTCTAGGCCATAGTTAAAGTAAATGGAGCTGGTGATTGGTCCAGAACTTCTGTCTCAGTATCACTGAATCTCAGACCTTCAGTAGACCCGGTTAAACAGAACCTCCAGAGTGATGGACTGATGAACCCAGTACTATGGAGCTAAGACTGTGTCATAATTCACAAATGCACAGAACAAGATCAGCACTTGTATTGTTGATGCAAACACAAATATATCTTGATTTCCAGGCTCCTTCTGGCCTGTGAGTTTCGCTGCATTTGTGTGTGAATGTTGAGACTCTGACATCTCAATACAGGAATGTCTTTTTTTAATAAATGGTCTATCTGATTGGATGATCAGCAACCAATCACATAGCTTCCTTATTTTCAGCCAATCATATTAACCCAGCCTGGCTTCTGGCAGCGACAGAGGAGTGGTAAGGAAAATATCTATCTAATGTATTTTAGCCATTGTTAAGAGAAGATTAATTATAAATGTTCTGTTTGGGCGCTAATGCCGCTGGTGGATTTCACACCATTTCCTGTCTTTTACTCGCTATTTCCTCTCATTTACCCGGTGTTACATCTTTCCCCATCAGATACGGTTCCCCCTGTGTCTTCTTGCCGCTCCGTCCCAGCTGTGTGAAGCTGACACCCCACCCATGTCAAAAAATCCAGCAAATAGTCTGAATGGTTAGTGCAGTTTGTGCCGTTAAAATTTTTATTTGTGCAATTTTCATTTTCGGGATATTAAAAGTTATAATTTTGGCCTATAACGTAATCAGCCACATCCATTTTGCTCCAAACATCAAAATTTTTGCTTTCCCTCTGTTACGTCGCCACCACCAACTGGTATGTAGTGTGGACCACAATTTCATCCAAGGATTATATTATACAAATGACTAAATCTAATTTTACTTTATTTTGTGCTTTCAGAGTTTAAGATTCAGCCAATCACATTCACCCAATTAGGGGACAATTAATTTCACCTGCTGCAGGTGGTACTTCCTGTTTTAGTTCTTCTTGGTTGCACATTCCTGTCACGTAAGTCTTGTTTTCGGTGTCGTTTTTATGCAGTTGAGGTTGCTATATTTTTATAGAAAAGGGACTACAGTATAAGCTGTGGCATAATCAATACAGTTATAGTAAAATTCACTATAGGCTACATCTAAAATGGATGCGGCTGATGACGTCATTGGCCAAAATTATAACTTTTAATATCTCAAAAACAAAAACTGCACAAACGAAAATTTTAACGGCACAAACCTGCACAAACGGAGCACTAACCATTCAGACTATTTGCTGGATTTTTTGACGTGGGTGGGGTGTCATGAGCAATGAGAAAGCATGCACTTGTTCATCCCGCTTATCTGGAAAACTACAAACACTGTGAAAGCTCAAACTACCTGTTTCAGCAAAGTTGTCATTCTTTCTTCACGTTTTTGCGTGAAACTACTACTAATAATAAATAAAGGTTGCTCCAGCAACCTCCCTGAACAAGCCCCGGTAACCATCACTGTGGCAGATGTCGCCACAGAGCGAGAGAGTGAGAGAAAGAACCCACGGAGGGTGAGAA